GCGCGAGTGACAGCTCAGGGAAGGGGAGACAGCACCCTCAGAGTACGTCAGGAACTAGATCCCAGAGCCCCCCGTCCCCAGCACACAGTGGGGCTGCAGTGCCTCAGCACATGGCTTGTGTCTGCACCAGCTGATGGCTGTAAGGGTTCTGAGATGTGTGAGGGTTGGAGAGGAACCTCCTTGTCCTTCCCTCTAGCACCAGAAGTGTTAATGCCTTCACAGGGCACTTGGCTTTTTGGGCACACCAGCCACCCAAGGGGGCAGGGGCTGAGCCCCACACTGCCCCAGACGGGGCACCTAGAAACTGTGGGGCTGGCCGTATGAGTGAGAGATCAAAGACAGGTGAAACGCCAGCGTGTGACATTTGCAAGCCAAGCTGGGGTTGCCCTGTAGGACAGCCCCCTCCCTGCCTATTTTCTTTTTCTGTTATTTACCCCGCCCCCCCCTTGCATGCGCTCATGTCTGAAGGTGGGCCAGAGGGCATGGTGGCAGACATGAGACCTGATACAACTCAGTGCACCAGCAGTGAAGGGACAAGCACCAGCCAAGGAGCTAGCCGCAGATCTCCCTGGCTCCAGCCACACCTGGGACCGCCTCCTGGGCTCGTCCCAGCCTTATAAAGGAAGGCTGCTCCTCTCAGGGCTGCAGCCACCGCCCTGGGGGTCCTGCGAGGGGAGGGGACAGGGTCCATTATTACTCTCCTACAGCTGACTGGTGAAAAGGCAAAACCATCCCCCCAGGCTGGGAGGGACACTGCACCTGCAACCAAGTGGGGACTTGCTCTTTGCCCAGAGCGAGCGTCCCCGCCGAGCAGGCCTTCCTCCTGCCCAGCCACAGACCAGGCCTCAGAGAGCTCCCCAGCCCAGCCCTGGAACGGGGAGCGGCGCATTTCCTTCCACCTCCCAGTCTCTGTCCTGAAAGGGCCCTTCTTCTTCCTTCCCCCTCCCCAGCCTCACCCCTGACCCTCAAGTCCTGTGGGAGCAGCCAAAGGGCGCCTGCCTCCTTGCCCTGCTGGCTGGGTGTGGGCGCCTAGCCTCCCTGCCCTCAGATGATAATGCCTGTTCCTCAGGATGGGAGGCAGGGGAGGACCTGCTGCACCGGGCACCCCAGGACTGCGGCAGTGCCAGGGAAGCTGCAGCTCTGTTCAGCTCGGCCTGGGAATGGGAGACTTGGCGTGGCCCAAACCCATGTTTTAGTCTGTGTTTCTAAATCTTTAAAATCCTGAGAGTCCGAAAGGAGATGGAGATTCTTGAAAAGACTTTAACATTCGTTCAGTCAGTCACTAAAAACTCACCAAGTCACGAGCATCCCAGGGAAAGGGAGCAGCTCGGTAAGTCTAGAGATACAGAGATTTAGTAAAATGCTAACAAACTCAGGTGCTACAGATATAGATAGATAGATATTTTTTCTCTTCTCTTTTCAAATATATAGCTGATTAAAAAGATGCAAAATAAGGATGACTAGGACGGCATGGGAATCCTGGAGTTTAGCATCATCTCTTGTTGATCATCAGCTGCTCTACATAAATGCATGGAGATTATATATTAGCCATCAATGTGTCCCCCTTGGAAACAAGACCCCAAACCAAGAGGCAAAAGAAGACTCCCCCCACCTCCCACCCCCTTTGAACGTTGGCAAAGCACTTTCTGCTTGATTCCCCACCAGCCTCCCTTGGCCATCCCCAAACATGCTTCTATCCATGCGGCTTCACTTCCTCTCTCACCAGGGCAGCCCAGGGCAATAGGGCAAAGGAACACAGAGTCCAAAGGCTCGGCTTTCTTGGCAAGGCCATCCCAGTTTTCTTGTTTGCATGGCAACAGGCTTGCTCCGCTTTGGGGCGGAAGCTGCTGAAGGAGCCTAGGGTGAAGGGGCTCCACGGGCAGAAGCAGCAATTGGCTAGAGGCAGCAGATCTGGTTCTCCCTGCAGGGGCATTCCCAGCCATGCAATCAGAATGGCCCTTCTTGCTTCAGCAGCCACTAGGACCGGTCTGAGCTGGAGCCCACCAATGGGGTCAGGCGCCCGCATGCCAGCGCAGGCTTTGGGAAACAGGTTGCCTGCTCCCAGAACCCCTGACGCCGCTCCCACTGCACTGCTGCACCTCGGTGCCTGCCTGCCCTCACCAGTCTCTGAGCTGGCGTCAGGGGCCGTGTGAGTGCCAGCACTGCACTCTCCACTTGGCCTCTCCAAGACTCCCATCACCACTACCATGCTATTCAGCAGCTCCTCCGGGCGTCTCACAGCCGCCTGCCCCACTGATCACAGAGGACCCTTGACCTGCCTACCAGACAGGCAGCCACTCCCGCGGGACTGGGGAGCGGCAGCTTGGCAGGATGTAGCCTAGGCCTCTGGTTGCTGCGGCTCAGGAAACGGGGGACTCAATTGACATTCAAACAAGCGCCCACCTTGTATCACATACAGATCAGTTCAGTTCCTGGGTCACAAGACAACCATTGCAACACAGCTGACAGCCCCATCACCCTAAACTGAGCTATGGTACCTAATTTGCACCAGTAACACCGACCACGCCCCCTCCTCTCCACAGCCCTTTGATCAGAATACATTCCACAGCCGGCTCCACGCAGGGGAACAAGGTTCTACCACAGACTGGGGAGCATGGGCCAACGAGGGCATGGCCCCCTGCCCTCCTGCCACCAACAGCGCCCCTGGGGAAAGGCACATCAAGCGATATACAGGCCTGACTCTTTAGGAGTACAGAAAAGAGGGTGTATTTCATGCAACATTCCTTTTCCCAAAGGTGGTGTTGGTTGGTGCAGGGTTGAGTGGGGGCTGAGCATGTGTTTGTGTGTGTGCATGTGCGTGTGTCCGTGTGTGTTTGTGCACACCTGGGGCTCTGGGTGTATGGAGTGAGTGGGCGCTCCTCAGCTCTTCGCCCTTCAGTGCAGTGGTCAGAATAGAAAGAGAATCAAATTGGTTTTATTCGTCTAGTAGAAATGCCCCCCTCCCCCCATAAGTTGGCTCTGGAAGAGGCCAGCACTGCCTAGGATGGTCAACTGTCTACCAGCTGTTTGAGTGCTCGCTCAATGTTCATGCGGTGCCCCACACGTGTCACCCCCAACTCCACAAAGTCCTCCTTGGTGAGGGCAGGTAAGTGTGTGCCCTCAATCTCATTGTCCTCAAACTTGTCTCGATGCTCCACCAAATTGATGCTTTCCAGCCAGTCCCCTACATCGTATTTGTTCCACAGGTGGAGGGGTTTCTGCATGAAGGGCCGCGGTGGGTGCAGAGTGTGCAGGGGGGGCCCGGGAGAGGGCGAGGGGGATGGGGAGCGGCTCCGGGCACTCACGCTCCGCACCACAAAGCGCACCTCCTTGGGCTCATGCGGGATGGAGAGGCTGGAAGATTTGAGGATGGTGGGAGGTGTCAATCCATAGGGCCGCACGGTGCTGAGAGGGTCTGTCCTATCCAGGGCAGGTTTCACTGGACTGGGAGTACGTCGGGTTACAGGGTACCGGCTGCCAGGTCGAACTGTGTAGGTGGTTCCGGAGCTCCGCTGGGAAATGGTGCTGAGTTCTCCTAAACTACTGAAAAGTCTGTGGAAAGAGAGATACAGGGAGAGAGAGAGAGAGAGAGAGAGAGAGAGAGCAAAGGGTAGGGGTGAGGTGGAGCTCCCGAGACACAAGAACATACAGATACAGTATACATGGGGGGAGTAGCCAGCCGCTGGAGAACAGGGTCAGCCTGGGACAGGAGGAGTGGTTCTGTGTAGCGGTCAAGGGAATGCTGTTCTTGGGGTGGCATCGAGCCTGGAGTGTTTTAGCCAAGATTCTCGGGAAAGCCCTGAAGGTCAGTTTCCGGAGGAAGTAGCAGAGGCGTGTGCGAGTATCCACATCCTGGTCAAATGCAGCCCAGGTGCAATAACTCTTGATGCCTGTGGAGACCCACCAGGTAGGCCCTGACGCTCCCTACCTACACATGCAGAGCTTCTGCAGCTTCTTAACCTGACTCCCACTTTATACCATGGTCACAGGCAGAGACAACTTGAGCCTCCTCACCCCACTGCCTGTCATCTCTGCAGCTTCCTCCTGCTAACGATGTACATCCGCCTTTGACATTACATCCCGCTACGCTATCAGAAAGTAGCGGAACCCCCCCGCGTGCATTCTACCATCTCAGAGGCAGAGCCAGGCCTGGAACAAGGTGGACCCAGCTGGGGTCGTATCAGGGGTATCATGGGGTGTGAATGAGAGTAAAGCTACTGCACAGTGAGGCGGTATCGAGCAGGGTGTGAGTGTCACCACAGGGGAGTGAGAGAGCTAAGTACTGGGGCTGAGGTGGCATTGCAGGATGTGGGGTACAAGTTGCACACAAGGTGTTTTGACTGTTTCTCTTGGCCCATTAATGCAGGGTGTGAGGTCTTCCATGCGGATAATGCGTGAGAGAGGGGCATGGATGGAGAAGGCTGAGCACGCCCCCTGCTCCTCTAGAAGCGGTGAGGTTTACATGCCACTGAGGGCTACACTAAGTGCTATAGTCAAAGCCTCTTCCTTTAAGAACATTTTTCTTTCCTGCTTGTGTTTATTCCCTCCCTCCTCCTAGGTGGCTGTTTGTGGTGGGTGGGTGGAACCAGAGAAGGTTCACTTCTCTTGGTGTGCACACCCCAGGCTCTCTGCCAGACCAACTAGGAAAGACCAGTTCTTGCATTGCCAACGGTACAGGCTGTGAATCAATGTGGCACTGCTCTGAATGTTCCTGTGAAGGAAACCGTGGCAGATCGACTCTGGTTTGAGGGTCCCTGAGCAGAGAAGCAAAGCCTCACTGGCTCAGATCCTGGTCCCCATGTTGGCTAGCTTGGTGCCACTGGTATGGGTCCAGGTAGCTCAGCCCCACAGGTGGGTCCAGGTATCCTCATGCTGGGTAGGTTGATACCACTGGTATGGGTCGAGGCATCCCTCATCTGGGTCCTTGGTCCCACTGGCTCGGGTCTGGGTATCCCAATATCATGGAGCACGGCCCACCAGATAGAAAGGGTGAAATGCAATGCAACTACAGCTGTTTAACACCACTGGGTAGTTCTTTGCCTCCTGCTGCGGTGGATGGGTCGTGAGCAACAGCAAGTGACATCTGCCTGGGTGGGGGAGGACCAGCCGCCTCTATCCTGGATTAACCTTGGGATCAGAAGAATTTGTGTAAGCGTTAAAGAGTGTATTTAAATTGAAACACTAACGTCCTGGGACTGAAGAATGGTCTGTCTGGTGCACTGTTGCCTGTTCGGGTGGCCCCGGGAGAGGCTCAACTAATCGTCACTGCACAGTAACAGAGCTGATTGTCAGATGTTCGCATTCCACTAAAAGCTGGACCAGGTACTAATGGGGAGTGGGGCAGATGCAAGGGTGCATGTGGGGCTGGAATCGGAGTTCAGAGAGGTGATCGAAGTCACCCCCTGGCTCTGTTTCTGTGCTCCACGGACACAAAACACAACAGCTAATCCTGGGGTGAAATGCTAAAGGATGGAGCGAGGGGGAACATAGCCAGGCCATGGTGCTTCCTTCACTACCCAAACTTCTTTGAGAGACAGACGCACCCTTATGTGATGTGGATGAAGCAGCCTCTTTAACCCGGCTACAGGGATGGGAGACTCTGCAGGCCTGCAGCCAATCCAGCTGAAAGGCAGAATTAATAGCCTGGGGCTCCCAGGACAGAGCCTCCCTTGGGTCTGTGCAGCTCTTTCTGATGCTGTGACATTTTACCTCCCGCTCTCTGTCGCTGCCTGGGTAATTCTAGCTTTGGCTTCTTGCTTGGAAAGAGCAGTTACTCACCTGCCCCTGGGGGTATCAGAGCAGACTGGGACATCTCTGTGCAAAGCACCACGGGCTGGAGCCTTCTGGAGAGCTGTGACCATTGGGGCTCCCCACACACACTCCCTCAACACTAGAGTTGGCAAATAACTGAGTTTTTAGTTCAGTGGCCAAATGGAAAAATTCCAAAAAACATTCATTTCACGTTAACCCCAAATGACAATTTCCCAGTTTTTCTTGCCAAAACAAGCCCCCAATAAATAAATACATAAACAAACAAACAAATAAATAAATAAAATAGTTTAGAGTTGAATGAAATGTTTTGTTCAACCCAAAATGAAATGTTTCATTTTTGAGTCTTTTGTTTGCTTTTGTTGAGTTTTTCTCAACAAATCTAGCTATTTTTCTAAACAAAACGTCATTTCAAAATAAAAATGTTTTCACTTTTCCAGGATTCCCTCCCTGCCCCCCATTTTTTCCAGCTGAAAGTATTTGCTGAATTGAACCTGAATTCGTGAAGAGTTTTGGTTGACCAAGAACTGCATTTTTGGCAAATAAATCATTTGCCAAAACAATTTTGCCCAGTTCTACTCAGCCTTTCACAAGGCACGGTGGTTCCCACCTCTCAGTTCCTTCCACTTTGAATCTAGGAGACGCTGTAACAAAGTGGTGGGTGGAGATCTGGGCTGGCGAGTTACTCAAAGAGCTACAGTTACTGGTGGGTAAACGAACGTTCTGAGGCGAGCACCGTCGGCACACATCCACACTCTGGGGAGATCGACGCACAGGACCAAATCCCCAGAGCGGAGCGGGTGAGAAGAAAAGTGACTGCAGGATTGCTCTTCCAAATTGGCATCAGACCTGGAGGCCAGGCCACGAGACTGATGCTGTGTAAGGGGCTGGGTGGAACTCCAGCTGGCAGCTCTACTTATCTCCACCCTAGGAACGTTTTGCAGACATGAGGCAGAGCTGTTTTAGGCCAGGGAGAACGAGCTCTGCTACCTTCATCCTTAGGGAATACCATGCGCTGGGCATGAGTGGAGGGCCATGTGGCCAGCCATTAAGGCTTGGAGTTAGCAGGCTCTCCAGGCTAATGCTATTGGTATGAGGAATGCAGTCTTTGGAAACAAGTAAGATAGGACCTGATTCTCCCACCACAGGATCGGAGTGATTCCCACTGACTTCAATGCAGGGGGAAGAAAAGGGCCTGTAGGAACCAGCCTCCTAAAGGCTGCAAAGGAGCATCAGTTTAGTGAAAACTAAGTGTAAGAGTCATGAGGGAACTGAATTCCATACAGCTGGGAAGAGCCTGGCTAACCTGTTTAAGAATCATTTTACAGTAGGGTGTCCAAACACAGGTTCCTTGACTGGAATCATGGTGAGCCGACCCAGTTGTGTCCTATTAATGGACTCAAGAGGCTCAATCCAGATTTCTTCAAAAGTAACAAATAATCCAGGATGTTAGGGACAGACGCCGAGACTGGGGTGCTGAGCTTTTAACCAGTTCAGCGAGAAAACCTTTTCCCCACTTCGCTTAGTAAGACTTTCTAGTCACTGTTTTCTTTACTCTCCAGCAGGTGCTTTCATACCTGCAATAAGTAATCCTCAACTCCTCTTATCAAGATTGCATTAACCATGCTGCCAGCTGCAAAGATTTCAGGTCTAAGTGAGGACACGCACTCTTTGTGATGAACAACCTGCACCAACCAATTGCTGAGGTATGGGGAGATGCAAATTCCCTGCCTTCTCATGGGATCACCAAATGTTGAACTTTGTAGTTACAGTGATCTCGCTGTAGCAAAGGTAAGGGTGAGCTGAGGCCAGTGCTGTGGGTTTAGGGAAGGGGTTGTCCTCTTAGGTCCAGAAGGGGATGAAGGCATCCTGGCATCTCCAAGCTGAGGAAATAATGGGCATAGTAATCCCCCTCCCTGACCCCGCTGGGCTGAGGTCTCACTTCTGCTGCTCCCCGCCTGAAGGAGGGGGGTGACTGAGCCTCAGAACAGTCTCACAAGAGTGATCCCTGAAAAGGGAGGGCAAAAGGGAGTGGTTTGGGGCAGAATTGAATGGAAAAAAGGATTTCTGGGTGATCTGCAAAAACCCATTCACTGCATGCTGCCAACGGTTTTCAAAAGGGACAGGAAAGATGAAGAAATTCACAGGAACCAGTCTGAAGCTTTCAAATAGGCTCTTTCACAAATGATGAGAGTCCAGAAGTGGAAGGAGAAGTCACTATTTTCGATCTGAGATTTAGATCTTGCTGCGAGGTTTTCCTCTGGTGGTTTGTAGATGGAGGAGGCTGGGGCTGTCTCTGACATTGGAAGGATGTACCCTACTGTCAGTATGCTTCCCGAAGAATGCTTGATAAACGCCCAAAGATCAAAAAGTTGAACCAAGCATAACCCTGTAGGAATTGAAAAACTCCGGCCCTCCAAAAGTAAGTATTCTCTGCAGACAGCAAGCCTGCAGGACGACTTTGCCACTGCGGCCATGCTGCTCTCTGCATAGTAACAGCAGTAGCAACAGTGTTAAGAGCTGCCTTCAGGGAATGTTGGGCCATCCTTTGTCCTTCAATGGCCTTCTGCAAAGTGATCTGAAAGGGGGATCATCTGATCCCACGCCAGGGAATCATTATGGGGCTAGAGGTGCCTGATGATTCCCACCCTTAGCGGAGGAGCTGGTGAAGAACAGCGCTTACATCCAAGGCATTCTAATTGCCTCGCCTCCTTCTCCTGGGAGTGGGCTTTGGGGAATCCCCGTGGGCCAGCACTCCCATTGGAGAGGGTAGATCCGACACT